CGGCTTGTGCCGTGCCCTGGGCCCTCACCAGGCTGCTTTTGTTTATTTTCTCGGGGTGAGAAGTTGAAGGTTTTTGTACGTGTACTATGGGACAGGGAAGGGTGGAATTGTTTGTTTCTCGAGGGCTATATATAGCACGTTAGACATGATGTGTATTACTGCGAAGGTGTTTGTCACGGGGTGATGTTCTGAATGTCCTGGAATGGTTTCTCTTTGGTGTGGTTGGATGGTTTTTTGCTTTCTGTACCTGATCTTTTGTGAAATCAAGTTGTTAAAAGTCAAAAGTCCTTCCTTCCTTTGTGCATTATACATATATTCACTAAGTTCCCAAAGCAATCTGATGATTTCTGAAAGCTGTTCTCCCCTTGAGTTATTCTGAAGGCCTGATCAGTACAGAGGGGATGTTCAACATATCATAACAGATATTGGAAAACTCCTGCTTACCTTTTAAGATTTTGAGTCTCTCCCCTTCAATCCTGTGCTGCTGTGTTGTTCTGCATTCTCCTCTTCCTGAGACCTCACCTTTCTTCTCTGGATTTGGTTTCTCCATTTCTTCCTCCATCTCAATTAAAACAAGTAGGAACACATCAGTGGATAGGAATGGGAAAGTATATTTGGGAATCATATCTTGGGCCCTGCTAGTTGCTTAACTGTGTGATAAGTGTTAATATGAGGCAGAAAACTTAAAATTATATAAGCCTTTTCTCTTTACTACAACTCTTTGTACTCCCCAAGTTTCATAATTTTTTTTATTTATTATCCAAATAAGTTTCATCAATTGAAAATCTAAAACAGGGCTATTCCACTGGCAACCTGTGAGCTGCATTGGGTTACCAAGGGTTAGCTTGTGGTCCTCACTCTTCTGGTCCAAACACAACTCCCCCTAACACTCCACTCCAGCTAGTGCCTCCAGGCCATATGCTTCTTGTCCTACCCCAGTGTGGAGTAGCTGAGGTACCATGAGGCAGAGCGAGTGGGAGGAGATGGCCCTGGCATGTGTAGTGGGGGGCACATGCTGCACAGCTCCCAGCCACTCGAGGTTGGACAGCCCTAGCTTGGGAGAACCAAATGAATGCATGAGAAAATTGAGAGCTAGCTTGACTGATATCTCTTAAAATGAAGTAGTTATGAGTACTACTCATAAAAAAAATTGTCAGCATTGTTTTTTTTCAAATAAAAATGGGGTTTTCAGCTAAATAAATTTAAAACAAGGTGTTGTTTTTTTTCATGAAAACTTGAAATTACCCCAAGCCAAAATATCTTGATTTACTTATCCAACTCTGGCACTACATGGGAGCTATATTTCAGTTTCCTCATAACTCTATTTTCTTCTATGAGCCAGGTTCTCCTATCAAGCAATGATTCTCATAACTCAGTAGAGCCACACAATTGCCATGTTGCTTTCCTTCATACGAAGACAGACAATGGTGCATCATGGGACACAAAACCCAATATGACTCCCCAACTGCAGAACAAAATGGGATCATAGAATCATTGGAAATTAGGGTTGGAAAAGACCTCAGCAGGTCATAGTAGCCGAAATGGAAGATGGGAAATAGGAAAAAGAGGTAAAAATGGAAATAAAGCTGACCTTACTGTCCATTTATCCAAACTATACTTACTTAGTTTACTTGCAAGAATGTTGTAGGAGACTGTATCAAAAGCCCTGCTAAAAAGTCAAGGTATATCATAACCACTGCTCTCCATGCATCCACAGAGCTAGTCATCTCATCATAGAATCAGGTTGGTCAGGCATGATTTGCCCTTGGTGAATCCATGCTAACTGTCCCTAATCACCTTCTTCTCCTCCAACTGCTTAGAAATGGATTCATTGAGGTCCCACTCCATGATTATTCTAGGGACTGAGGTGAGACTGAAGAAGTCTGCACTTCTCCTGGAGGTCTCACAATAGCATTTTGAAATTGAACTATTTTGTTTTTGGGTATTTCCCTAATTTTTAAAATTTGTTTATAGAAAAAAATATCTGACTATTTTGAAGGGATGTAGGGGTGGAACTATAAAGGGAAGGCAGTTAGAGGGAGCAGAAAAGGGATCCCTCTGCTCACGTAAGCTTTATTTCAATTTTTTTTCTATTTCCATCTACCATTTTTACCACTATTTTTTCCCTTCAGCAAGTGCCATCTCTGTCTTTTTGTTTTCTATCAGAAGGTATTTAATCAAGAATGAAATGCTTAAGAAATACTGATCAGGTAAGTCCCATGTTATTTCACAGGCACTGTATACTAATACAACTAACTTTGAAACATTTTGGGATGAGCATTAAAATGGCTTTAAGTGGTATATTTTTTTTCTGTTCCCCGTGGACAGAAGCCAGTGATGCCTAACACAAAACAAACATCTCTGATGCTCACAAGCCAAGTAGTAAATTAATGAAGGAAGCCAGGAAATTTAGCACTACAGTGAATTCAAAGTGAAATACAAGAGCACAGAAAATAGAGGAAATAGCTTGTGTTTTCAGTTAATCACATAGATATTGTTCCTGTATCCATACATATATGCATCCAGATGTATATACGTTACATTCAGGGTGTGTCTACACAAGACACGTAATGCTCATTTGACTAATTCTATAGCACATTAGTGCAGCTGGCAAAAGCCATGCTAATGTGCAGTAGATTAGTCCAAAGGGTAGTAAGTGTCACTCCCAATGATCTCCTGAGGTCCCTTACAGCCCTAAACTTCTGTGAATCTGTGTGTGAATCTGTGAAAAAAGTGTTCATCTGTGCTAATGCACTAATTACAGTACATTATGCTTAGTACCTGTAATAACAATACTTACATCCAAGACAATAGATACTTACTAGGGCTGTGAGAAACAGCACTGTTTCGTTTCAACTTCCATTTCACCATTTCAAAGGGATAGTGTTTAATTTTACTGTTTCAAACCACTGTTCCATTTCATTCTGTTGAAACTGTTTCAACGTTTCGCCCATAGGCTATAATGGGGAATCACAAAAATGCCTATAACTTTGTAATTTCTTTCCTGATTTGAATGAAAACAGCAGGGATGGTAGCCCCTGCTGGTGCCATGAAGCCTGCCAGATTTCAAGGAGATACATACAGGGGTTTCTGGGAAACTGCACCTCAAACTGCTGACAAACAAAACTCGCGACCTGTGACTGTGTGTGTGTGTTAAGGTGCAGCGGGGTGAAAACTGCATGAATAGTAGCCCCTGCTGAGGCCCTAAAGTCTGGCAGGTTTCAAGGAGATAGGTACAGGGGTTTCTGGGAAACTGCACCTTAAAATGTTTAGAGCAAAACTCGTGTCACTTCTAAGTGTGAAGGCACAGAAAAAGCTAAGTTCAAACAACGCTTTTTATGCTGTTTTTCTGTCCCTCCCCCAGAGCACTAGGATTGGAAGGGACCTCAGGAAAGGATGACAGTCACTGGCCAGCTACACAGTCCATATCAGGGCAATCCTTCTCCCCTCTTCCCCCTCCCTCTCCTTAGTTTCTGTTTAGCTGTAATCCAGCCCGGCTTTGAAACTCGAAACATTTCAAAACTTTCAAAACTTTTCGAGTGTCCTCATTTCATTTTGAAATTGTTTCAAAGCTTTTTGTTTCATTTCTATTTCCCTGTTTCAAGCTTGAAACACACTGAAACAGCTTCAAAATGAAACACCCACTGACATTTCACACAGCCTTAATACTTACATACATACATACATACATACAAACAAACATGCATATTAGTGGGCACCTCTACACATTCATTAATACACTGTAATTACTGTGCATTAAGTTTAGTACCTGTAATACCAGGTACTAAATGTGCCATGATTACAGTGCATTAATGAATGGGTAGTCATGTCCACTGATATATATGTTTCTATGTATGTGGGTGCATCTACACGTGCCACTATGGTGTGCCAGGCATAGTTATTTTTAGGCACTACATCACTGTAGCAACATCCTATAACGATGGAGTGTGTTCTTATGGTGACATAGTGGCACATGTAGACATACCCTGTACGTATATATGTATTATCTTGGGCATATGGTAGTCCTTAGTTTCATTTTCAGGTGGTTTAGGACAATTCTTAGTTTAATGTTAAATTTTAATATCTATTTCACCCATCTTGAACTCTTGCTTTATGTAGAAGATAATTATATTTCAATAGAACAGAAACTATTTTGTGGTTTTAACATACAACTGTTTTTAGATAGTAATAAAATCCTTTTCCAAAGCACTAAGTGCTTTGTGACTAAGTGTTGTAACAGCACTGCAATAAAACAAGCAGTTTTTAGCCTCACAGCTCAGGTTTCTTTTTATTCAAATCCTTATTGATGACAATATCTATTGCTATCTAAGAACTCCATGTTTTAGAAACAGGTTATACTGCCATCACCATTCTTTGCATTTTATAATGAAGTCAGAGGAAACTAGGTAATCCAGGGTATGGACAGGTATTTATTTAAAGTGATAAGAATGTCTTAGAAATTTGCAGCACCACAAAAACATAGTGTAACATGCATGTACAGCTATTCAAATGCCCAATTGCCTGAAGCACTACATAACATGTAGTGCTAGCACTTGCAAAGAGTGTTTTTGACTGGCTTCATAGTTTCATAGTTGGTATGGTCAGAAAGGACCTAAGCAGATCATCAAGGCTGGCAGGAAAGAGTACTGAGGTCAAATACCCCAGCAAGGTGTTCGTCTAACCTCCTCTTAAAGATCCCCAGGATAGGAGCCAGCACCACTTCACTTGGAAGTTGGTTCCAGATCCTAGCCGCCCTGACTGTGAAGTAGCATCGCCTGACATCTAGCCTGAATCTACCCTCTGCCAGCTTGTGACCATTATTTCTAGTCACTCCTGGTAGTGCTTGGGGGAACAGGGACTTCCCCAATGCCTGCTGGTCCCCTCTGACTAGTTTGCAAATGGCCACTAGATCCCCCCTCAGCCTTCTCTTGTGGAGGCTTCCATCTCCAGAGATTCCCAAGGATGACCAAAAAGGGGTGGCAACTGGGTGGCCACCTAAGAACCATGTCAACCCAGGCACTCCCCCTCCCCAACCCCTGGGCTGCCAGTATGATTCAGTTCAGAGAGCCATGAAAATGATAACAAAGTTCAACTGAGATTGGGCAGTACTCTGGGAATAGCTTGAAATCTGCTTCTAGGTGGATTGGGAAGGATTCTATCACGCTCATGAACAAAGATTGTGCTGAGCACCAAGGTGTCATGATGACATGTGCGGTCAGCTCCACCTCCCTGGAGCAGTAGAGTTTGACATCAATCACAGATAGACTCCTTAGACCTGAAGAAGGTGTTGATAAGCAGAGGACTGAGCTATGCCCTGTAGCTATGTGCATGTAAGTATACAGGCATTATATATGGAACTGGAAATCAGCACACAGCCAAGGAGTTACTGTTGGAAAGAAATAATATTTTGTGGCAGTTTTGCCAGGTTTTTCCAACTATAAACTGCTTAAATGACAGTATGCTTGTTTTCTACTGTGCTAAAAGGGCATATTCAAAGCTACAAATGTAACACTTGTCCATGGCCTCAAACTGACTTTCCAGCCACACTTGCAGTAATAACTGTGTAGCAGAATTTGAGACTGACATTTGCAGTTATAATTTGAGCTAAGAAATGTAATTCTATTTCCATATGAAATAGTAAATATGTTGGATTAAAGTGACTTCAGGCAATGTTTTTGGATTTACAATTCATAAACATAAAAAAAAAAAAATTACCTGAAGGATTTGTATCATTCCACCTGATGAATTTGTTAAATATATCAATGAATATAAGGTTAGAATGTAGCACTTTAATGCTGGGGTAACTCTGGGGAAAAAGAAAAAGGTGATGTCATATAGAAACCTTGAGTTGTAGCCCAATGACAAATGGAGAAAGATAAATGGGTTCAAGATAAAGAAAGAAAATGAACCTATATATATATATATATATATATATATTTTTTTTTTTTTTTTTTCCCCCCAAACACACACCCAATTTTTACTCAGATTTTTCTCAAAGACTGAAGTTCTTGTTTGTTTTTTTCCTCTTAGTCTCTAAAAGTTCAGTTTCAGCTGAGACTGGAAGTAGAAGTTGTAAAATCCAAGGAGGACTATCATAGCCATTTACAGAACAGAAGTCCCTTCTTTCTGACTGATTTTCAAGATTTTGAGATGTGGCTTTGCCCCAGGTTGGACAGTGGAAGGCTGGCTCTATTCTTTCTAAACATTCCCCTTCTCTCTCTCTTTGTGAACAGCTCTTCATCTTGAGCTGTGCTCAGTCAAAAAAATCCCTAATTAACCTCCTTTCTATTCTCCACTGATACCTATATCTCATCCCTGCTTGGTCTCTGAACTGCCTGAGTGATATCTGTAGATAGGCTTATACATTCCATTGCAAAATGCCACCTTTCAACAAATGAAGTTTCACTTTGGTTTCAGATTGTTTTTTATTTGCATGTATAATATAATACAATCATTTTGAGGGGTGAAAGCTTTTATTGGACCAGCTGCATGGTTGGAATAAAGTTACACAACCTTTGAAATGATAGACATTCTTCATTAGGTCTGAGGAGGGAGGCAAACAGCTGTTTTGCTGTCTTGTATTTGAAAGCTTGTCTAACTTTATTCCAAACACACAGTTGGTCCAATAAAATATATTACTCCCCAGAAATCCTTGTCTCTTGCATAATTAATTCCTGGACCATCACAGCTACAATATCACTCTAACTCTATTATAATATAATAAAAATATTTTGTAAAAGTTATTCCAAAATGAAAAAAAAAATCAAATGTTTCAACTCAAAATGATTAAGTAGGGGATTTTTTTTTCTTTTCCCCCCAACTTTTTACTTCACATTTCCTGGATTTTCTCTAAAATAAAGTTTTAGTGAAATCAATATACTTTTTGAAAGAATTTCAATTTTGACACACTGATAGAAAATGATTCTTTTAGAAGTGTTCTGGTCCACTCTACTATTCACATATCATTTCTGCTGTGCCTGGAAGTAGGAGATGCCATATTATATTATTACTATATTTACCTAAATATAAGGTGAGGTTTTTTTCCCCCACAGTCAAGGTGGGGAAAAATCCCCTCATTTTAAATTTGTATACCTAGAACCCACATTAAATACATTGTCTATCTCTGAACTGCTGCTTTTTAAAAATAGCATGTGTTTAGTAATGGAAACCAACTATGAAGCTGATTAAATGCAGCCAACATTGAGCATGACTATAAAATACATAGCCCACATGGGACAAACCAACTGCTCGGAATTTTTTTATTTATTTATTTATTTATTTTTTAAGTATTTTGTGTGTGTGTGTTCCAAGCCAAATGAGCCAGACATACTGATGGTAATCTACCACAAAGCTAGGTTAATGTAGCCCATCTGAATAACATACAGAGCTGTACCCATTGCATGCAGTCCCCCTCAGCTCTGACTTGTTTTCAAGTCATGGTGAGTCACTACACTGAATGCAATTTAACTTCCTCTTCACTCCCACAACTGAACTGTGCCTTTCTTTTCCATTTCCATTGGTTCTTGTTTTTTCACCAGCCTTACATGTCAAGCAAACAAACTGGTCCAAACCAAACTGGACCCCAAACAGTTTGCCTAGAATCCATCTGTCATCCCACTTTCTCAGCTTGTCTCATATGATTAATGTGTCCCTGCCCTCCACGATATAGAGCCAGGCCAGGTTGCCCTGCACCTCAACTGAATATACATTTTTGGAGGATCCCAGGACTCATGACAAGAACACCTGGTTCCAGTCATGGGGGGTGGAATGGGGGGAGGGGAGGTGGGAACAAATATTTGCACATTGTGGGGGAATAGGGTGTGTCAGGTTGTTACTGGGAAGGAACGTGCCTTCACAACTGACAGCTGTTCACAGGTCTTTGCCCCATGCATAGCTAACACAGCTCTCTCTCTCTCTCTCTCTCTTCCTTGTTCCCACCTGCCACAATGTTTCTTGTTTGCTGGTTCTTGAAGATGTAAAGGAAAGGGGGAGAGAGAGAGAGAAACTGGTGCCACCACTTGACCACCACCAGTTGCTGATTTGCACTGTGATCCCCATGCAGGCAAAAAGAAAAGGGCATCAAATGAACTGAAGAAATGAAAGAAATTTTATTGGACGAACAAGGTCCCTTTCTGAGTCCACCAGGGTTTAGCCAACTCCTTTACTTAGTCTATCTCCCTTCAGATGGCTGAGCTTTCCCCATAGGAATAGATTGGGTCTCTTCCTTACTTACCACCACCACTCCCAGCTTGATTTTTTGGGGGGGGCAGGCAATCAGGGCAAGGCATACGTTAAGGCGAGGAATTGGCTTCTTTCTCTCTGTTCCTAGTAGATCCTTGCCTCACTTGGCACTGATCAAACACTGGAGAAGATTCTCTTCATATTTCTCTGAGGGAGAGAACAAAAAAAACAAAACCAGAGGGAACTAGGCTGAGACCGAAGCAAACCCCACGGCTCCAGTTCTCCGCTCTTTGTTGCCGGCATCTCCAGCTTCATTAACGAGCGCCAGTGATCAATTAACTAACCCAAAGTTAAGCCCGGATAGACAGTGCCCACATTCTCCTTTTGGCTCTCTCCCTCCCTTGGATGACAGTTCTTCCATGCCCCCAAGCCTACCGGTCTCTTCTCCTTGTTTTTCCCCGGAGTTCTCCATATCGGGTGAGCCGTGGCTGTGTGTCACTGCACCCACCTGCGTCCAAGTTCACTCTCCTCTCCCAGTCCTGGATATTGCTCTGATTGATGCGATCCCCCAGTCTGCTTCACCTGGCAATGTGTTAAAGTGGCTCGGGTGTGCACCAGCAGCTTCTGCTGTAGCATGGAGACCTCGAGCTCAGAGCCGGGAGGAGATGCCAGGTAAAGTTTCCCCTGTTCTTTCACAGGGTGTATCTGGAGTACACATGTGTACTGAACTATGCTGACCTGTGAGATCCCCGTGGCTGAAATGCTGTTGACTCTGCTGGGCCCCAGCCCAATGACCTATATGGTAAAGCAAAAGCCTTTTGGTTTTGAACTAATATCATGAATGTATTCCACAAGGACCTGCAGAAGGAGCACAGTGACTTATAATGGCAGGTAGCCCACCAGGCACTCCTCATGCAGGCATGAAGAAACAGTGTGGGGCAGAGAAGCCCCTCAAACTGCCCCAGACAATTCTGCTGGTGGGACGCAGAAACAATTGACCCCTCTTCTTGGATTGTCCATACACCAAAGAAGTATGGAAGATAGCAGTGACAGGTTCATAACTCTGGCCAGACAGGCAGCTCTGTATGGGCACTTGACTAAGAAGCAAGGGGCTATGACAGCCCACTTCGACCAATTCATCTCCTGCTTTAGGAATGCACTGTGGGAGACCAGGAACTTGCTCATAAACAGAAACATAAACCTCCCAGTTGAGGGCTATATTAAAATGGGACTGAAAGAGATGTACAGACACTACAAGAAGATGGTAGAAGATGATTGGAAAGAGATGATAAGTATCGTATGAAACAGAGGGGGATGGCATAGACTTTTCAGAGGCAAGCCCTCCAAAGAGAGCAATGAGGATGATAATGATGAAGACAACGATGACAATGGACACACTGATGACAAATACAAGGACGAGTGAAAGGACTGGGCAAATAGGCAGGGGAGTTGAAAAGAAGGGGAAGGGAAGGGGGAGGGGACTAAGTTAGTCCTTTGCGTAATTGTGATAGTTTCAAGGTGATAGGTGTGAGGGTGCGTGGGTGCATGGTGCAGTCTTTATAATGGAATTTCGACTGGTTTCACTGTAAAAGTGTATTTTGGACTGTCAAGTGAGATATAGCAGTCACAAAACAGGTGATATAGATATATATTTGTGTGTGTGTGTGTGTGTGTGTGTGTGCACGCGCGCGCATGGTATATAGCTATAGAAATATATATATATAGCGAGAGAGAGAGAGAGAGAGAGAGAGAGAGAGAAATATTTTTGGAAAATAATAGTTTGTACTATATATAAGTATGAAGAAAAATGTTGCTTACAAGTGTATTTATGTTGTATCCATGCTAACACTTGCAGCAGTTTGTAAAAAAGTTAGTGTGTATATATTTGTGATGAACCTGGTGTATAAAAATCTTTATTTTAGTCAGTGTTTTCAAATTTGCCCCTCACTTCCATGAGCTCAGGGAGAGCAGGGTCTGATAGTAAAGGGGAGGGGGGATGGCTACAGGGGGGAGAAGTTGAGAGGGCAACAGAGCCTCTTGACTCCTCCAGATTTATTTTCCCTGCTGTAGCAGTGGGAGAGGAACACATTCAAGGAAAACCTCTAATGATTAGATTATATACCTGAAAAATTATAACTTTTTTTTCCATATATAGAATCTAATTATTGGGAGGTCACCTTATATTTGAGTAAATATGGTATTATCTTTAAGTTCTTACAAGGAAGTTTATTTAAATGGGATTTGCAGCCAAAAGAGGTTAGTTAGTCCAGGTTAAAGCATCAATAATAATTTGAGCATGTTTATTTGAATCATACCTTGAAAACAGTTTAGGGTAATAATGCTCATACTAATATATAGTCAGTAGCTAATCAACACTCTAGTCTTCATTTTTTATTTCCTGATGAACCCTTCATAGTCTTCTTTTCTTTCATCTTCTCCCTTTCTTCCTACTTTTATACTGCTTATTACCATTGCTTAGCCAGAATGCCAAATAAGTTGAAATGAAAGAATAAGCCTAACCATGTTTTATTTTCCCCATGGAATCTGAGCACAGATATTACTTCTATCATCAACACCTCATTCAGCAAACTGTAGTATCAGCAAGAGATAAGATAAGTCACCTGGATATTTCCTTCTCTTCCACCTACTGTATTCTGATTACACAATAAGTCCTATCCACTACTATCAGAGGATATGGATACAACAATGCTTGGAACTCTTTCAAAAGAGGAACCTTTCAAAAGGCAGAAGCTGTTTATTAATTCTTATGGGTAAATAGTTCAGAATGATTAATATATCAAAACTGCTCTAACTTTAAGCCTAGATGAAGGAAAGCATTAATTTTATACCCTCTCTCTAGTTGGGTCTCCATAAGTATCATTAGGTAAGAACTACCAGATAATGGGGGGGGGGGTGTTGTTTTTTTTAATGAAAAAGGGCTGTATAACTTTTTTTAAACAGTCAAATATTTTATTAGCTTAATAAAGCAGAGTCAGGTTAACCAAAGTGATTGGTGAATCATGTCAACTTAAACTGCTTTGGTTTACTGAAAACTGGGTTTGAAAAAGTCAAAACATTGTGTTCTGACATTTTAAAATCAATTGTTCAGTCAATATTTGTTTTTAAAATGTATCATTAAAAATTTATCTTCTGAGAGGTTGAGGGGGGGGCACCACATTTGTTGTTGTTCAGCCAGCAAAGTGAAAATTCAATTTTTCATATTTCTCTAGTTGCATGTTCCCCACTGTGACCAGTCTACAAAGAAGTGTGAAACAGTTCACAGATGGAGAACTTGGCTCTTAGCTTAGAAAGTTATGCTGGTAGCTTTGAATGCCCCCAATTCAGTCTCTGGTGGTGGTCAGATTGGCAGCTGTCACAAGCACAGTTACCCTACATTCATCTTAAACCAGTTTTCTGGGCTTGCTTCCTATCTAGTGCCAGTATCATACAATTATGCCTCCTCTTATGCTGCAAGTGCATGGCAGGAGGTATGATTGTAGAATCCAGCATGAGATCCAATCACACCTTATTGCTGCTGCAGGAGGAGCACAGAATATCTATCCTGGGCTCTCCGTGAACCAAAAAGTAGCAAGTTCCTATGTCTTGGAGCGTAGCTGATTTGGCTTTTGGGATAGTGACCATCAATTGCTTGAATTCACTATCCAGCAAAGGGTGGGTAAACTAACTAGGAGGGCTGAGGTGCTACACTTCAGACAGGCTAACTTTAGTGTGCTCAGGAGATTAGTTAGTGAGGTGTTAAAGCTCAAGAGCATTGGTAAAATGGGGGTCCAGGAAGGGTTGTCATTCCTCAAGGGAGCAATCCTACAGGCACAGAAGGAGACTAAGGGCAAAGAAAGAGATATACAAGCTGTGGAAACAGGGGTAGATACCAAAGAGGAGTATACTTCCCTGGCTCACACTTGCAAGGAATCAGTTAGGAAGGCCAAAGCAGGATTAGAACTTAGGCTGGTGACAAAAATGAAGGACAACAAAAAGTCCTTCTTCAGGTATATTGGGAGCAAAACAAAGGTGCAGGGTAGCATAGCGACCTGTGACAGGGGGCAACTCTTGGGGCCAGGTCTCAGGCCGGTCCATGAAAGAGATGGAATGCTCTTTCATTCCATCCAGGAAGAGCACACATCAACTGCTGAAACTTCCTTAGCCTGACAAAGGGTTTTTGAACCCAAAAGCTTGCTTAATAATTATTTTCCAACTATTTGGAATAATAAAAGATATCAGATTCACCCAAGGAACCTTGTCTGCCTTTGATATGGTATCTCATTCTGTTCCCATAAATAAACTGACAGGCTGTGATGTAGATGTAGATGATTACACGGTCAGGTGGCATGCAGAAAGGGAGGCAGCAGCTGTGGCTACAGCCCCAACCCCAGGAAGGGGCTGGAGCTGAAGCTGGAACTGCAACAGAATCCTGCTCCCCTCCACACCTTCATATACGATTTTAAGATGAGGGGCTTTTCCCAATGTTAGATAAAAACCTTAACTTGGAATTGAGTGAATAGAGTATTAATCCACTGATTAATGTTGATGAACACGGAAGTAATTAATGAGAGCAGCAGGTTTCTATGCTCAACCATTATGCCAATATATATCTATTTATTTTTTATTGCTGTTGTCCTGAGGAATAGATGAATGGAATAACATATTAAGTACATTGGAGTCTTAAAACAACCCCCCCAAAAACCCACCTGCCAGCTGGTGAATGAATGAAACTAATGTTTCATTAGTACTTATTAATTTATTTAATTTGCTTTACAGAAGAATGACTAAGAAGTTTAAGAAAGTTATGTCATTTAAATTCTGCTTTACACCAACTTTATATATTACTTGTTGTATTCCACCAACACATTCAGCTATTGTTATTTGCTAAGAAAAGAACTCCCTCCTGGTATGACTTGTTCCAGCTGTGACCTCGAGTATGCAAAGTAAGGATAAAAAATGATTGTATGAGGAGATTTTCCTTGAAAACACCCAACAAGAGCTAAAAGAGATCTGACTGAGCCAGAATTTAAATTACAAAGTGAAATTTGGGTATATAGTAATAGTATGTTAGAAGTAATACAACAAAGAGTTTAGTATTAGAGGATAATAATATAAAAAACACAGTTGGACCTAAATAAATGTTATGGCCTCTTACAAAAAAATGATGTATTCAATAAGAAAAATAATCAAATACTCACAAGCTGCCATGTCTCTCGAACAACAGGCCACTGTGTGGGATAAGAACCCTGCTGCAAAAACACTGCTGAAACCCCCCAGCTTTGTAACCTGGATAAAACAGCTCCACATGTTCAATCTAGCCTATGGGTTGGGCTGTAGATTGGAAACCCCTGATCTAATTCCAGACCTCATTTGAAAAATCAATAGGACTTAGTATTAGCGATATACAATTTGGGTTTGCTACTGAGCCAAAATAAATCAGTATTTTTTCTCAAATGGTAAATTACATTTCCCCCATTTTATACAGCCAAAAAAAGTTTTAACTGTCTTTTAGACACCTTTTTATTAACTGTTAAAGCACCTTTTTTTAGAAAATGATA